TCTCTTCCTCATGGCCATGAGTTGCTGGGTTTTCCCTCCCATTTAAGGTGTCTGCCTTGGATTCTCCAGTACGTGCTAGTCTGGCCTGGGCACCCTCTCTCTCCCTCAGCCTTCTTGGCATCAGTCCCTCCAGACCCCCTAACCCTCAGAGCCACAGGAAAGCCACTTCCCCTGTAGCCTGACCATACACTCACTTCCCTCTGTTCTGCCTGCTCTGCTAGTACCCACAAGCCCCACCTTCTCCCTGCATCTTCATCCCCTCCTGGCCTCAAGGGAAGTCCCTCTAGGCTGTGAGCCCAGGACCTGAACACACAGATTCAGCATCTTCCTCCTACCTGTCATCATGGCTCCTTTGCTGGGCACCTGTGAGCCACAGCGCAGGGCTTGTCTTGATTCCCTGATGCTCACAGCCCAGGCTTGCCCTGACTCCCCCTGCTCACCGCACAGGCTTGCCCTGACTCCCCCTGCTCACAGCCCAGGCTTGCCCTGACTCCCCCCTGCTCACAGCACAGGGCTTGCCCTGACTCTTCCCCTCTACCAAGAGCTGGGACTTGAGGGCCAGGTGGCTGATGCACACAGCTGATGAACTATGCCCTTGGAGGGAGGAGGCCACACAGGCATGGCCCCATTTTGATAGTTCAATGGTCCTATAAGCTAGTTGTAGCTTCCCTTAAAAGATGAAGAAACTTGGAGGGTGAAGCAGTTTTGCCCAGGCTATATGGCTCAGTGACTTCAGAGCTGGGATGTGAAGTTCCAGACAGCAGAACTCACTTGACGCTCTGGCTGTGTGCCCCTTGCTACCCTCCCACCATTCTGCAATAGCTTTAGGAATCTTCATCTCAGCCACAGGTGGACTGAGGCCTCTACAGATCCCTTCCATGTGTTGGGCCTACCGTAGAGTCCATCTCTGCAGTTCTGGGCCATCCTGTCCCACTCTGCTCCTTGGCCAGCCCTGTGGACATTTGGCCTCTGTTCTCATCCTAGCCTGCCTGGACCACTGAATGCCTCCATGCAGAACTCTCATTTCTCCCATCCCTAGAAGACACCCCTCCAGAGATGCCCCCTTCCTTTCCTTCTCCTCCCCCTCCTCCTGGTCATCCTCTTCTGAGCTCTGTGCCCTGGGGCCTGCTGGCTTTTCCTTACAAGTCACCAACAGCCTACAGTTCAGATAGAACCTACCCCAGATCCTGTCTGTGTAACCTGGCCAATGACCCAGCCCTCCTGCAGGACACACTGTGGGGCAGAAATAGTCCTCAGGTAGCCACAAAGGACAGGCCTCTCCCTGTAGGGGGAAGCCTTCTGGAAGGATATAGGCTTCTGTGGAGGTGGACAGACCCCAGTCTGCCATCATTCCCAGCCAGGGCCTTGCCTCCTCCACAGTCTGAAGCTGTTCCTAGCTAAGGGCCTAGGCCATGGGGTGTGGGGAGGAAGCTTCCTGTTTCTGGCCACAGCGTCTGGCCTTGGCCTCATCACCACATGCAAACTGCTGTGTCCAGAGCCAAGAACTTTGCTGAAATCATCCAGCTTTCCATCTCCTCTGAGAAAGCCCTGCTGTCCTCCAGGACATCTTTGGGTTTGGAGGTGAGGGTGAAAATGCAGATAGATAGGATCACACACAGGACAAGGGCTTCCCCATCGTGCCAAGAATACCAGGTTCTTCTGCATAGGAAAAGGTTAAGGAAATCTGAATTAGAAAGTGCCCCTAGAGTCAGGCACCAGTGGCGTATGCCTGTAATCTTACCTACTCAAGCAGCTGAGATCTGAGGATTGTAGTTCCAAGCCAGCTGGGGAATGAAAGCCCATGAGACTCTTATTGCCAATCGACCACCAAAAAACTGGAAGTGGAGCTGTGGGTCAAGTGGTGGGGCATCATCCTTGAGTGGGAAAGCTAAGGGACAGTATCCAGGACCTGAGTTCAAGTCGAGGTACTGGAGCTTAAAAAAGAAAGTGCGTTAGAGGACTTCTAATCCAGGCTTCCCAAACCTGCTGGCCATCAGGACATCTGAGCAGTGATAGTGACCTCACCCTTCTTCCCCATCTGCCACCAATGACTGCAGAGACCTAGGTCAGCCAGAAGCATAGGGGACTGCTGCCATGTCTATCTCTGTCCCCAGAGCAGGAGCCAACTATGCCCAGGACTCCCAGAAACTCAGCCCCAGGGCCCTGTGTGCCCAACCCTTGTCACATAGGAATGCCGCCTGGGTGTTCTCGGCTTTGCTGTGTATAACACCTGTCCCAGGAAGACTTGAATTGTGCAGACTCCCTCAAACCCAAGCCTCCCATTCATTCTTGCTCACCTTCTGACCCTAAGGAGATGGAGTGGCTGAAGCCTGAAGGCTTGGAATGTAACTCCAGCTCTGCCAGTTAATGGCAAGATTGGGATGTACTGGGCCTCAGTATCAGACTCTCCCCACTCACCTCCCCAAGCTTCTGTGGGATGCACAGTCACTGTCTGCAATACTGTTTGAGCTGTGAAGGGCAGCCCCCACTTGAGAGCTTCCAGTAAAGAGGAGCAATTGAAGATGACCTTCATCAGGCTGAGCCTGGCAGGTACCAGCCAGGGCCCTGGCACCTCCCCTACCCCATCCTGAGCCACATGCAGACTGAAGACAGTCCCCATGTCGCTGGAGTCCATCTGCTGATGACAGGCCCAGCACAGAGCTATCAAGAGCAGGCATGGAGTGCTTATTAACAAGAAAATTTTGGCTAAATGAACTAAAGAGTTAATTTGAGGGGCTCATTAAAGATCGTGGCTAAAGATAAGGCATCACCTGAGATTGCTGTCATCATCTCAGATGGGCGAATAAAGGAAATGTGGTGGATGTGTTTAAAATGGAATACTACTCAGCCACAAAGAGAATGAAATCAAAATGCAGCAGTGATACTCACTTAGACACTATGTTGAAGATGAACTACACAACTCGTGGGTGGGAATGAGAGGGAAAAACTGGGAGAGAGTGAGGGAAAGGGTGGCATTGTGGAAACGGAAGTACACTCTGTGCTCTGACTTATGACAGTGTAACTCCTCTGTATATCACTGTTATGATAACAGTAAAAATTAAAAGAAAAAATATATTTTTTGAAAGAATGAAATTCTAGCCAGGCTTTTGTCGCTGCTCCGAAGGCTGAGATTTAAGGATTGTGGTTTGAAGTAAGCCAGAGCAGAAAAGTCTGTGAGTCTTATTTCCAATTAACCACCAAAAATGTGGAACAGAAGTGTGGCTTAATTGGTAGAGTGTTATCCTTGAGCAAAAAAGCCAAATGAGAGCATGAGGCTCTGAGTTCAAGCCCCAGCACCAGCATACAATAAATTAATTAAATTCTGTCATTTGTGACAAAATGAATGAGGCTGAAGGACATTACATGAACTAAGTCATACAGAGGAAGACCAAACTGTATTTTCTCACTTACATGTGCACACCAAGATGACATGGAAATAGAACAGAGGCTGTGGAAGGGTAGGAGGAATAAACTGGTTGGGTAACAGATACCCAAATACAGTTAGATAAACTCTGGCCATCTACTGGCCATAGACTGACTGTAGTTAGAAATAAGTTGTAAGCCAGGCACTGGTGGCTCATGTCTGTAATCCTAGCTACTCAGGAGGCTGAGATCTAAGGATTACGGTTCAAAGCCAGTCTGGGCAAGAAAGTCCGTGAGACTCTTACCTCCAATAAACCACTAGAAGTGGGGCTGTGGCTCAAGTGGTGGAGTGCTAGCCTTGATCAAGCTGAAGAGCTCAGAGACAGTGCCCAGGTCCAGAGTTCAAGCCCCATGACCAACAAAAAAGAGAGAGAGAGAGAGAGAGAAAGGAAGGAAACGAGGAAGGAAGGAAGGAAGGAAGGAAGGAAAAAAAGAAAGAACGTAAATTTCAAAATAGCAGAAAGGACTGTTAATGTTTCTTAGACAAAGAAATTCAAGTTTAAGATGATGGAAATGCTAATTACTCTGATTTTGTCATTACCCCTGTGTGTTCAAGTATATCACCTTGTAAATACATTTAATTGTCATCTATCAAAATTTGTAAGATATTTTGGATAAGTAAAGTATGGGGGAAGCAAAGCTACCATTTCCCATTTTCAGCCCGGTCGAATTCAACTGACATAAAATAGCTGGAGAAAATAGTTGTTTTGGTGCCACTACTGGGGCTTGAACTCAGGATCTCGGGTTCTGTCATTAAGCTCTCTTGCTCAAGGCTGGTGCACCACTTGAGCCACAGCTCCACTTCTGGCTTTTTGGTGGTTAGTTGGAGAAAAAGAATCTCAGAGACCTTCCTGCCCCAGCTGGCTTTGGCCCACAGTTGTTAGATCTCCACCTCCTGAGAATCTAGGGTTGCAGATGAGTCGCCAGTGTCTGGCATAAATACAAATATACTTAAAACAAAAAATAGATGTCTCGGGAGTCCACAGAATGAAGTGGAGATTTGCAAAACAATGGAGCGAGTCTCTTCCATGCTGGATTGCACAGAGAATGGTGACTTGCTGTGAAGTGGGAGAGGTATGGGGCTGGGCCTGGAGAAGTTAACACCATAGAGAAGTGACCAGGAGGATGGGGGTTTGCTTAACCAAGTCTATTTGCACAGATTTCCTTCAGCTTCCGCTCCCCCTCTACTACTTTCCTTTGAGTATAGAGAATGAGATTTCATCTTTTGCGAGTTTTAGGGGGAGCTGGGGGTGGTGCTGGTCCTAGGGTTTGAACTCAGGGCCTGGGTGCTGTCCCTGAGATCTTTTCCTCAAGGCTAGCACTCTACCACTTGAGCCACAGCTCCATTTCTGGCTTTGGGATGTTTAATTGGAGATAAGAGTCTCGTGGACTTTCCTGCTGGGGCTGGCTTTGGTCCTCAGACTTCAGCCTCCTGAAACTAGGATTACAGGCGGGTGGCTCAGCCTGAAGCAGTCTGGTATCAGGGCTCAAGGAGCCATGTCTGCAACCCCTGCTGAGCCCAGGATTGTAAGCCCTGTGGGGCTGACCCTCCTGTCCCTGCCCCCCTCCCTGGCCAGGTTGATTCCTATGACGTGACTGTGGATGAAGAACTCGGTGAGATCCATCTGATCAGAATCGAGAAGCGCAAGTACTGGCTTCATGATGACTGGTACCTGAAGTACATCACCCTGAAGACCCCGCATGGAGATTACATCGAGTTCCCCTGCTACCGCTGGATCACAGGCGAAGGGGAGATCGTCCTGAGGGATGGCCGTGGTGAGTGCTCAGGCCCCTGCAGCCAGGCTGCCCACGGCTCCTCCCTCAGAGTCCTATTCCTGAGAGGGATGCCTGTCCTCCCAGGGAGCAGAGCAGTCCAGGACACACACCAGCTGTGACCTCCCTGCACTGTCCTGTGGGGGCAGGGGAGATCATGGCCTCTTTGTCAGGGAGCAACTTGGGTCCCCAGTAACAAGTACCTGTAGGCCATGGCCTGGAGGCCCAGACAAGGCCTCTCTAACCATCCAGGTAGTACCCTCCCTTTCCAGACTGGCAGGCTGACCTGCGGTGAGAACACAGTAGGGTTTGGGAGTGCAGAGAACCTCCTGCATTCAAGGAAGGAGGGGCACAGAGTGAGGCATATCCATGGGATCGCAGGGAAGCCTGGGGTTCCCAGATGGGATCTTACTGTGTACCCAGGCTGGTCTCAAACTCATGATCCTCCTGACTCAGCCTCCCAAGTGAGACCTGAGATGCACAGATCCCGATCTGGTGTTTCATCAGATGGCTCTTCTTTCTTTGGAACATGCTACTGGCCTGGTATAGAAAACTAGAAAGAGAAGTGGATGTAAAAGGTCAGCTAAGGCCAATTTTACCCTAATGGCCGCCTCTCATACACTAGCCTCTTAGTGTGCATTTATCATGCTTTGACAGACTTCCTCCTTACTTCCAGTTGTGGCTCTTGGGTTTGCTCCAGTCTCCACATGGAGCAAGAAACTTGAAAAGCCAGGCAGCTGTTACAGTATGAGAAAAAGGAGGAGAAGGAGGAGGAAGGCAGAGGCTTCTACCCATGACAGAGTTGAGCACTTTTACTGTCACAGAATTCCCTGCCTCTAGTTCACCCATTCTTCACATTTTAGGGGTTTGTTGAGGTGAGGGTGATTATTGCCCTGCCCCTCCTTTGATTTAAAAAAAATGGGGCAAAGGAGAAAGAAATTCTCCAACTAGTATCTTTCAGTCATCAAGCCACCTCCCATTGTTCCTGATGTCGAATTTTACTAAGAAATCACATTCAGCCAAGTTCTGGTGGCTCACACCTGTCATATATATATATTTTTATTGTAAAAATACTGTACAGAGGGGTTACAGGTATATGAGTAAGGTAATGAGTACATTTCCACTGAGTATTGTTATCGCCTCCTTTGTTTTTCCCCTACCATCCCTTCCCTCCCCACCTCCACAATTCCTCCCTCCCCCCAACCCCAAAGCTGTAGAGTTCGTTTTCAACATAGTGCCTTGTACATCTCATTGTTACAATGGGTCATCCTGTATTATTATTTCAGCATTTTGTTATTTCCATTCCCCTCCCCAAATTAGAAAAATGTATATACAAGATGCAGGGCACCCACATCAAATACAGTCAAAACAGGAGTTATACCGTGGGGGAAGAACCCACAAGAGAAACAAAAAAATCACATAGTACACTATAATTATGTTAAAAACAATAACAAGAAAGAAAAAACCACTTGTGTCCCTATCTTGGGGTTCATTTCGCTTAACATCATCTTATATGGTCATATGTACATAGCTTTTGAGCTTTTCTGCTTATCCTAAGCATATACTAGTTATTGCAGATAAGGGAACCCATGGGACCTATGTTTCTTTGGGCCTGACTTCACTTAATAATTTTTTTCCAAGTCTTTCCATTTCCTAACAAATGGGGCAATGTCATTTTTTCTGATGGAGGCATAGAATTCCATTGTATATATATACCACGTTTTTTCATCTACTAAGGGGCATCTGGGTTAGTTCCATATCTTAGCTATGGTAAATAATGCTGCAATAAACATAGTTGTGCTGGTAGCTTTAGTGTGGCCTTGTTTGTGATCATTTGGATAAATGCCCAAAAGTGTGATTGCTGAGTCATAGGGGAGCTCTATGTGGAGTCCTTTGAGGAACCTCCATACTGCTTTCTAAAGTGGTTGAACAAGTTTACACTCCCACCAACAATGCAGTAGGGTTCCCTTTTGACCATATCCCCTCCAGTGTCTGTTGTTATACACCTGTAATCTTAGTTACTCAGGAGGCTGAGATCTGAAGATCATGGTTTGAAGCCAACATAGGCAGGAAAGCCTGTGATACTCTTATCTCTAATTAACTCTCCCCCCCAAAAAAATTCAAAGTGGATCTGTGGCTCAAGGGGTAGAGTACTAGTTCTAGTACTAGTCTTAAGCAAAGAAGCTCAGGGACAGCACCCAGGCCCTGAGTTCAAGTCCCCAAACCTGCAAAAGAAAGGAAAGAAGAAAGGAAGGAAGGAAAGGAGAGAGGGAGAGAGAAAGGGAGGGAGGGAGAAAAGAAAGAAAGGAGTGAGAAAAAGAGGAAGGGAAAGAGAAAAAGAAAGATTCTAAGAGTATTTCTGGACTGCATGGTTCAGTCTAAATGAGTATTTGTTTCTCCCAGCCCCTCCCCCACCCAATTTCATAGAAAGAAAAAAAAATCACAGAAGTTATTTTGTGCTGTAGTCAGAACCTGGAAGGTTGCAGACAGGGTTCTTTTCTTGAATCTTCCTCCTGTCCATCCTACCCAAACCCTAGATGTCAGGGTTGTTTTTGTTTGTTTGTTTGTTTGTTGTTTGGGTGCATGTCCTGGGGTTCAAACTAGAGCCTGGCCACTGTCCCTGAGCATTTTTGCTCAAGGCTAGCACTCTTATCATATGAGCCACAGCTCCATTTCTGAATCTTTGTGTGTGTGCGTGCTTAATTGGAGATAAGAGTCTCATGGACTTCCCTGCCCTACCTGGCTTCCAGGGCTCTCAGCCTCCTGAGTAGCTAGGATTACAGGCATGAGCCCACACTGCCCAGCAGCATCCTATTCTTGAAGGATCCTCGCAGCACAGCCGTAGGAGCTCCCAGCAGTCCTTCTATCCTCTGCACTCTGTTGCAGACAGCCAAGACTCTGCCTCCTTTCCCTTCAGTAATTAGATAAAGTCTCCCAAAGCCAAGAGAACAGCCATTCTCATTGTGAAACTTAATGTGGCTATTCCTACATGTTCCAGCTTACACCAGTGAACCTAAAGAAATGGAACTCCTCAGAGTTTAGGTGTCTGAGAGGTAGGCTAGTTCTTCAGCATGGAATAGAAAAGAGGAACATTGCTGGGCAGCACAGGCATGCTGGGCATGCCTGTGAGGAGGCTGAGATCTGAGGATCACGTTTTGAAGCCAGCCTGGGCAGAAAAGTCTGTGAGACTCTTATCTCCAATTAACCACCAGAAAACTGGAAGTGGCACTGTAACTCAAGTGGTAGAGTGCTAGCCTTGAGCACAAAAGCTCAGGGACAGTATCTAGGCCCTGAATTCAAGCCCCAGGACCATCAAAAAGAAAAGAAAGAAAGCAAAGAGGAACATTGAGCACCCACAGCAGTGACAACAGCCAATGGCAGCGCTCGCACTGTCAGATTCGGGGGAGAGCTTCCCCTGCCAGCTGACCTATGGCCCAAGCAGAAGGCAGGACAAGCCCCTCCATCTTCTCCTGAGGGCCCCAATACCAAGGAGCTGCCAGAGCCAGGGAGCTCTCAGTCTAATCTGAGAATTTGGGGGTACAGGTCCTCAATGAGGCAAAGACAAAAGAGACTGATAGTAAGTGTTATAGAAGTTGCTGTTGCAGCAACTTGATAACTTTATGAGTAGTATTATCTAATAAACCAGGATTGCATCTTGAATGGCCAACGTATTCTTATTTATTTTGTTTACCTCATAATTTTTAGTTCCATTTATAAAAAATACCTGCGTGGAATGGAATTTGTAAAATCCTGCAAAGAGCTGGAGTCTATATTATATCATATCACATGTGGAGATACATATAAATACATGCATGCACACACACATATATCTCCAGCACCTGGCTGGATTTGTCATATATTAAAAGTTCATGAATTAACATTCACGGAGATTAAGGCAGGAGGATCATAAATTTGAAGACATTTTGCTACATAGCAAAATCAGAAGAAGAAAAGGAAGAGAGAGAGGGAGGGAGGGGGAGGGAGGGAGAAAGGGAAGGAAAGACAGGAAAGGAAAGGAAGGAAGGAAGGAAGGAAGGAAGGAAGGAAGGAAGGAAGGAAGGAAGGAAGGAAATTAGAAGCTGGAAGCCTATAATCCAAGCTACTCAGTAGGCTAATCTCTGAGGATGAAGTTTGAAGCCAGCCAAGGCAGGAAAATCCATGAGACACTTATCTCCAGCAAAACATCTGGAAGTGGCGCTGTGGCTCAGGTGGTAGAGTACCAGCCTTGGGACTAAGGGACAGCACCTAGGCCCTGAGTACTGGCACACAAAAAAATTAATAATAATTAGAAAGCCTACCCTTTAGGTTTATGGTCCTGACCAGATCTCAAAGGCAAAGCTACTCACCCTCCTAAACCTGAGTGTTCTCTCCGTGAATGGGAGATGCCTGTAAAAGTACTCGGTGTGGGCAGGTATATCGGAAAACTTGAACACTGGACGTGGCCGCTGTTCATCCTCAGGCCCCTCTCACTCTTGGCTTTCCTCCACAGCAAAGTTGGCTCGAGATGACCAAATCCACATTCTCAAGCAGCACAGACGTAAAGAATTAGAAACGCGGCAGAAACAGTACCGGTGAGTTGTGACTCCTCCTCAGACGCAAGGTACGAGATCAGCACTGACCACTGAACATAGTATAGTTATGCTAGTAAGTCACCAAGGCACCAGCTCCAGACAGTGGATTCATAATTCCCTAGCTTCATCTGCCCTTCTACTTCAGGCTGGGGTGATGAAGGAGTTATGGAAAAAATTTGGACAGATTTGGGAGAGATGGTGTTGAGATAGCCTGATGGGAAGACAGCACCGCAGCACATCTTCAGCCATCTTCAGGGGCACAAACATTGGCTTCAGGTTAGACAGGGAGAATTGGGGGCAGGGGTGAGAAGGTTCGCAGAGTTCAAACAATCGCTGGTCACAAGTGCAACCTGGTTGACCATGAGCTCAGCCTATGTCTATGGAGGAGTTCTGGAGAAGTTATCACTTCATGACTGGAACAGAACAGGAACAAGGTGATCTGAATTTAGGGCTGTTTCCTTTGAGATGATAAGAAGAAGCCATTGCTTGTTTAAGGGGCAGTTTGCCTTCACATCAGATGCTTATCTGGATCTTCTCTTTCCTCCTGGAAATGAGGTGATTGCCAGGAGACTTCAGCAGAGCCTAGCACAGGACAAAGGTCACAGGGGCAAAGTTGTTGGGGAACTTTTAGCTCATGCATAAGACCCAGTAACAGCATCTTTTGAGTCCCCTCTTATGCTAGTACCTCACTGGACACAGGGTTGATTTGGGGGGACAGCAATGCCTCGGTGATGTCAGGCAACACTGGCCAGCTTCAACTGAAAAGAGTGACTGAAGGGGTTGCATTTGGCACAACGTCCTTCTTTTATTTGGGGGGGGGGGGGTGGTTCGTGGGTCTTGAACTCTGGGCCTGGGCTCTGTCCCTGAGCTCTTCAGTTCAAGGCTAGCACTCTACCACTGAGCCACAGCACCACTTCCGGTTTTCTGTTGGTTAATTGGAGCTAAGAGTCTCAAGAACTTTCCTGCCCGAGCTGGTTTTGAATCTCAGATCTCAGCCTCCTGAGTAGCTAGGATTACAGGTGTGAGCCACCGGTGCCCAGCGCAATGTCTGTGCTTCTTTCACGCACTAGCTGGCTGGAGTGGAACCCTGGCTTTCCCCTGAGTATCGACGCCAGATGCCACAAGGACTTACCCCGAGATATCCAGTTTGATAGTGAGAAAGGAGTGGACTTCGTTCTCAACTACTCCAAGGCGTAAGTTTCCAGAACTTGGAGACAGTAGGTGGGTGGTCCAGTGGGAGGCTGGGCATGGGGCCTGGTTGCCTGGCAGAAATATGAATCTCTCAGCCCTGCCCAAGGGTTAGGGGAGGAGCTTTGAATCTGCATATTAGCACTTCAGAGAACTATAGTCTCAGGAGTCTGAAAAGGCATCACCCGGTGATCCTGAAACTTGACTGAACCTAAAATCCTCTCCTCTCCTGGTACACACCCATAGATGACAGGGCAGGACCTGGTCTCAACCAATTCCTAACAGGCAGACTGGCAGCCATCCCCAGCGGAGTGGTCTGTGAATCCCTAGCTGGTCTCAAACTCATGATCTTCTTGTCTTGGCCTACCAAGTGCTAAGACTACAAGCATGAACTACCACACCCAGCACAGTTATCTATTTTAAGCTTCTTAGCATTCTATCCTTGACCATCTCTAGATGAGAAAACAGGCTCCAGTGGGATGGGGTCAAAAATGTTTCCCCAAATCAGTTAGTCAGAAACCAACAAAATTAGGATTTGAATCCAGGTCTGTGAGGAATTTTCTCCCTGCTGCAACTGAGATCAAATAGTAAGAGAAAAATGAAACCAAGCATCTGGATTGGGATGCTGTAGTAACAGCTGGCTCCCTGGAGGCATGTGGCAGTGCTGTGTCGCTCTTCCCCTGAGCTGGCATTGCTGTGCAAGGCCCTGTGCTTTAGCAGAGTAGACCTTACCTGGACTGGGATGCAGCAAGCAGAACAGAGGCCTTTGCGAGTGGGGAGTTTGGGCAGAGAATTGTAAGGCTGGAGAGGCAGCAAGGAATGAAAAGCTGAGCCATGAGGAATAGAGCAGCTTGGTTTCATAATGGTGGGTGGTGGGTGGTGCATGATGGGATAGGAATGTTGCTGGGGAATAATCAAGGACTTCCTGAGCTTCCACACAAAACCACAGGTTCTGGAGATCCACACGTGAAGAGCATTTCAGCGTGTCTCACACATGAAGAGCATTTCAGCGTGTCTCACAAAAGGAGATTCTCAGTTTATTTCAATAAGCATTATGTAAAACATGAACTATGTAACTTGAGGGTAGGAAGGGGATATAGGAGAAGCAAAGGAAAAAGATTATCTTGACCAAAAAACAACATACACATAACCTAATTAAGGAATTGTAACCCCTTTGCACACCTGTTTAATAGCAACAACAGCAACAATCAAAATTAGGGTTAGAGGCACAGTTTAATTGGTAGAGTGCTAGGCAATGAGTGAAAGCATCAGGTTACCAAGTTTAAGTCCCAGTCTCAGACCAAAAAAGAATAGAAAAGAAATAATAATAATAATAAAGAAAAGAGGATGGGGGAAAGGAGGGGAAGAAAAAGAGTCACATGATCAGACAAGAAGTTAGAGTGGGGGCTGGGAAGGTGGCTCAGTGGTAGAGCACTTGCCTTGCATGCCTGAGGCCCTGGGTTCAATTCCTCAGCACCACATAAGCAAAAAGAAAAAAGCTGGAAGTGTTGCTAGGCTCAAGTGGTAGAGCGCTAGCCTTGAGCTGAAGAGCTGAGGGACAGCGCCTAGGCCCAGAGTTCAGACCCCACGACCAGACCCCCCCAAAAAAAAGAAGAAGAAGAAGAAGAAGTTAGAGTGGTGGGAAAGAGGGAAGTAGCCAGGCTTGTTCAGCTCCTCATGGAAAGGATTTAAAGATGTAATAAGACATTTTTTTCAGGGGAAAAAGGGGGGGGGGGTCTCACAAGGTGACAATTTTAACAAGGATTTATTTTAATATTACAGGTTAAAGGAGGGAGAAGGAGAAACATTTCCTGGTCTACATGCAGGAAATGGGAGTTAAGGGCTCAAAATGGCTGGATGCTGGTGGCTTACACCTGTAATCCTAGCTACTCAGGAGACTGAGATCTGAGGATCACGATTTGAAGCCAGACCAGGCCAGAAGTCCTTAAGACTCATCTCCAATAAACTATCCAAAAAAGTTGGAAGTAGAGTTATGACTCAAGTGGTAGAACAGTGGCTTGGAGCAAAAAAAGCTAGGGACACCACCCAGGTCCTGAGTTCAAGCCTCAAGACTGGCACCCAAAAAAAAAATCTCCAAATCTCTGTCATCCCTGAAAATGAGACCACAGCTCCAAGTCAGTGGTGTGAGACTGAAATAGGAGGACCTAGGCCAGTCCCCTGGACACAGAGAAGAGACTCCCCAAACAACACCCATCTTCAATCATTGTGTGTGGAGGGGGGGACACCTAGGGCTTGAACTCAGGGTCTGGACACTGTCCCTGAGCTAGTGCTCTACCACTTTGAGCCACAGCTTCACTTCCAACTTTTTAGTAGCAGTAGTGGTAGTTAATTGGAGATAAGAGCCTCAAGGACTTTCCTGCCTAGGCTCACTACAAACTGGGATCCTCAGATCGCAGTCTCCTGAGTAGCTAGGATTACAGTCATGAGCCACCGGCACCCGGTTCTTTATGCATTCTTGGTAACAGAATCAGGCCCACCTGAGCACTGAGCACTAGTTCCTCATCACCTGCCAGCAGAGTAGCTGCCCCTCGGACAGCAGCTCATGGGGGACCTTCTCTCCACCCAAGCATCTCTTTCACATCTTAGAGGCCCAGCCATGCTGCTGGCCAGGCAGATGCACACAGGGCCTAATAATGGGACAAGATACTGTGGCGAGCAGGGCACAGTGGGCGAAGGTGTGCTGCAGCCAGGCCTGCTTGCAGAGCCCAGTGGGTTGTGAAAGTTGCTGTGGTTTTGAGGGAGGGGCCGGGTACTCAGTGTCTGCATGCAGCCTGGGACCCACTGGCAGGGCTGGTGAGGATGATAAGGGATAGCCTCTTCAAAGGAAGTTGAGAAAGTACTTCCTTCTGGGTAGAGCAGGACCAGGCAGAATGGGGCTGTCCTGCCAGCACCAGGTGGCAGGTCACCCCCCTCCTGCAGATTCCTGACAGGTGCCTGGGCCACATGTGGCTCACGCAAGTCCCAGGGAGCACAAGGCCAAGGAGGCCTCGCTCACAGCACAGCCAGCTTCCTGGGAAGGAAGCATCTGGAATGCTTCCTCAGCCACCTTGGCCTGGCTGGCTTCTGAAGTCTGAGTTCTTGCATCCAGTGGGAAATGGGGAGAGTCTGAGACAGGCTGTGATGGGGTCAGAGCTGTGTGGTGAGTCTCACCTGGTAGCCTATGTGAGTCAGGCAGAAGCCTGCGGGGTGGAGAAGATGTGGGGTATGTCCAGGTTGGGGTTTATTCAGAATTTGAGGCACAGGGGAAGAGGCTGAGGAGAGAGCTCAAGGCAGTCTTGGTGTTGTATATTGCACTTGTAGGGGGGAACATGGGTGCCCCTCATAAAGAAGCTGTGCTGGGTACTGGTGTTTGCACCTGTCATCCTAGCCACATGGTTGGCTGAGATTGGGAGGGTTGTGGTGCCTGGCCATCTCAGGCAAAAAGAAAAAGGAAAGGAGTCCATGAGACTCCATCTCAACAGAAGAAGCCAGGAGTGACAACACATGCCTGTCTCCTAAGTTAGCCTAAAAAGGAGGATCAGGATCCAAGCAAAGATCCAGTACACATAACAAGACGCTGTCTGAACTAGTCATCACAATGGGCTAGAGAAAAGGCTCACCAGGAGAGTCCCTATCTAGAAAGCATAGGCCTAGTTCAAGCCCACATAGTGCTCCCTCCCCTCAAAAAAAACAGTAAAAGGAACTTTTCCAAAGAGAGAAAGAAGTCCAGTTTGAGGCACCCTGAGATTGAAAACCCTATGCTTGTAGTCCCAGGTATTTGGGAGGTTGAGATGTAAGAATCAGGGTTCAAAGCCAGCGTAGGCAGGAAAGTTGATAAGACTCTTAGCGCCAATTAACCACTAAAAAACTGGAAGTGGTGCTGTGATTCAAGTGGTAGAACATCAGCCTTGAGCAGAATGAGCTAAAAGATGGTGCCAAGCCCTGAATTCAAGCCCCAGTGTTGACCAAAAGAAAAGAACAGGGAATCTGATGGTCCCTGAAGACTGAGGACCACACACCCAGGATAAGCCTGTGCTGTCATTACCTCAGACCACCAAAACATGTGGCTGAGGTCACCAGCAGGCCTTTGCACTGAGCCGCTGGTTCCGGACTTTGTGGCTTCCAAGCTATTTACGGGTCACTTGACGACAGCTTCCTCCGAGCCATCTGCTGCGTGTGGAAGGAGGCCAGCCTTCCTCTGCAAGCCTTGTCTCCACCAGCCCCACCAGCCCAGATTGGGACACAAAGTGGAGAAGCAGCTAGAAGGAAAGAGGCCAGGGTTGCAGAGGAAGCTCGGCCCTGCCCCGTGGCTGACAGCTGGGGTCCAGCCCAGGCCACCTGCTTCTTGCAGGAGAAAGCTGTGGTCAGGTGGTCAGGGACTTGAAAAAGCACCAAGGTGCCCTGTCTGGGCTACAGGTCCCCTTTTGTGCAAAAAGCATCTTTGAGCCAGTCATTGGCTACTCAGGAGGCTGAGATCTAAGCATCTCTATTCACATCCAGTGAAGGATTAACCAACAAAACACCAGAAGTAGGGCTGTTGTACATCCTTAAGCAAATGAGCTAAGGGACAGTGCCCAGGCCCTGAATTCCAGCCCTAGTACTGGCATGCATGCACACACATACACACATACACACATACACACACACACACACACACACACACACACTTTGAGGTGCTAAATATACATAGAAACATTTTGCCTCTAGATGACATGTAAATATTTTCCTCCCAGCCTCACTGTTTCCTGGATCTGTGGCTTCCTCAGGGCTACCATACCCATCCCTAGTTCCAAGCTCTTCTATTTTGAGGTCAGAGACCCTTTTGGGTACACCATGGCTCACCCAGCTCCCCATGGCATCGGCCCATCCAGGGTCGGTCCTGGCCCCATGTGGTGCTAGGCCATCCTCAACCCGGGCAGGATCTCAGGGTGATTCTGCATCCCTAGAAATGAGTCCTTTTCCACAGCCAGATGGACAGCACACACTGCAAGGGAGATTTCTCCTCCAAGTCCACAGGTTTGCTGCTCAGGGCACTCGTCCCATGAAACTGTGGAAGATACCCAAGGCTGAGGACTTGAGCCTCGTGATTTTGTACCTCCAGGTTGCTGAGTACTGTGTGTGGCCACCACGGAGCTGGCCTCACACCAAGGCTGGGCTCCAGCAATGCAACCTCTTGATAGCCTGGCCACACACACGAGGTCTCTGGCCTCATGGCCCCAGGACTCTCTCCTTGGCTTCCTAAGGGACTCAGTGTGGCCTGTACGAAAGCAGGGAACATTTGCTGAACTACAAAGAACTCAAAGGGGCCTTAGGTCTCTCCTGAGCCTGGCGGGATCAGGAGACACCTCCCCCGCAAAGTCCCTTCTTGTCCAGTCGTCCCCTGCCCTCGGTGGCTCTTCCCGAGTGCCTCACACATGGCCACAGGGTCACTTCCCGGGACAACATACATCCTGAGACCTCTGCCTGTCAGCCACATTCACTCTCAGGACTCTTGTCCTTGTTCTCAGATTCTGTTGTGCCAGAAGGGCTGGGAAGGCCCCTGGATACCCAGTCTGACCGGGACCACGTACCCCGTGTCTGCAGCTCAGTCCAACCTGGCCACTAACCAAGGGCTGAAGTCTCAGCAGGGCACTGGACCCTCCAGGTTCCATGCTGCCTCCCAGTTCAGCCTTGGCTCTGCCTGTCACCCCTGGTCCCCTGCATCAGGCATCAGGACACCTCACTCAGTGAGGCCCCTCTGAGCTCCCCCCGAGCTTCGGCACATATTCTCATTCCCGTTCGCGCTTAAGTTGCCATTGAGAAGCAGAGGCAGCCTCGTGGTCGAGACACCTTAATAGCCTAGTCTGAGGAAGCAGGGGGTCCCCTGAGAAAAGGACCACCACCCAGAGATGGATGAGGGAAGGGGCGCTCATGCAGGGAGCCCGCCACGGCCACCAGGGGTCACTATAACGACCCATCCCAGACCTGGGCTCCAACAGGAATTCATTCCTCACCACTCTGGAGAGTGGGGCTGAAGGGGTGGGCAGCACCCCTGAGAGGAGGAAGTTGGGTCCTTCGTCCTCTGGCCTCTCAGCTGGGCATGACAGAGAAAGGAACTGAGGCAGGGTAGGTCAGGGCAAAAAGTAGGCAGAACTCCCTGGCCTCCGTCTTGCACCCTGCTTGGGTTATGTAAGAAGCCAGGGAAGGTTTTCTTGCCCTCCTCCACCTTCCTGGGTGCGTCCCACACCCAGCCTCCTCCTCCAGGAAGCCCCCAGAGGATTACTCATTCACTAGCGTCTCACTTCTGTTAATTTGCAAGCTCCTACTTGGGGTTTCTATGTTGCTACGTTATGTAATGAGCTTTTGAATTTCCGTGCTCCTGAGCACCAAGTGTAGGACTGAGGTTAGGCAGAAAGTAAATAAATGCAAGTTCATTCCCACTAAAATCAATCTTTCCCTCCCAAATCTGGGCCTCTCGTCCTGCCACAGGAGGTGGATGCCCCATCCCTGCAGGCTCCTTCTGGAATGGGTACCAAGTGAGAACAGCAGATGCTGAATGAATGAATGAATGAATGTGTGGTGAATGGATGAATGAGCTGGAGAGGGTGGGACTCATGTCTCTGCACTGAGTCTTGGTTGGAGGCTAGCTGGGGTGTCACGAGGCCCCTGTAGGGGGCAGCAATGACCCACCCCCTGGTCTGCAGGATGGAGAACCTGTTTATCAACCGCTTCATGCACATGTTCCAGTCTTCTTGGCATGATTTCGCTGACTTTGAGAAAATCTTCGTCAAGATCAGCAACACTATCTCTGGTGAGTGCGTTGAGAGCTCCTGGCATGCCATTTTCCTCCCCCAGATGTGCCGGGGAGTTGGCAGGGCTGTTTCATCTCGCTAGGCTCTGCTGCACGAGGTCCAGGTGGCTCTAAGGTCTTGTTGCCCGGGCCTCGCTGGCCAGGCCTCACTACCTCCATGCCACCCAGGATGGTATCTCTGTGGACATGCAGGTGACCTCGCATGGTCACCTTCATGCCCTGTGGATTTTCCTCCGTGGATGCTCAAGCTTGAGCACTAACAAGCTCATCATTAGTCTTAAAACTTCCACAACTTTTTCTTTACACAAACAATCTAACCATGGTGCTTCTGGACACAGAAAAGGGAGGACTCACTGGTTTTATTTCAGCAGTTACTATAAAACAATGTTGGGCTGGGCATCAGTGGCTCATACCTGTCATCCTAGCTCTTCTGGAGGCTGAGATTTAAGGATCATGGTTCAAAGCCAGCCTGAGCAAGAAAGTCTATGAGACTGTTGTCTCCAATGAGGCACCAAAAAGCCAGAAGTGGAGCTGTGATTCAAGTGGTAGTGTCCTAGCCTTGAGCTAAAGGGCCCTGTTCAAATCCCTGGACTGACACACACCAAAAATTGAGGTTCTTTGGCCAGGCTGTGTTCAGGTAGACTATGGCATGGCAGTGAGTGCAGATTGAATGGAAGATCGTGACAGGCCGTTAGGAGACAGAGCTGGTTGGGTAAAGAAATCCACATAAAAATGATCTTGCAAAGTCCTCCATGGGACTCTCCTCCCTCCAGTCCCTACTTCTCCCTCCCTGCCAGGCTAACAGACCTGGGGTCTTGAGGGAGGGTTTTGTGGGACACTAAGGGCCAGCTCAGGGAGGGCGACGTGGTGCCACTGTCTGACCCAGTCCCTGACCCAGCAGGAGGACAAAGCAGGTGAGTGGAGGTGCAATGGGGACTCAGGAAAGGGAACCTAGCAGGGACTTAGGAAAGGAGCCCAGCAGGGACCCGGTCAGCCTGGCCAGGAGTACCCTGCAGGGCAGAGACCCAGCACCCTCCACCCAGGGCCCTGCTTCTCCCCTCACAGAGCGGGTCATGAACCACTGGCAGGAAGACCTCATGTTCGGATATCAGTTCCTGAATGGCTGCAACCCCGTGCTGATCCAGCGCTGCACCCAGCTCCCTGCAAAGCTCCCAGTGACCACAGAGATGGTGGAGTGCAGCCTAGAGCGGCAGCTCAGCTTGGAACAGGAGGTCCAGGTAGGAGCTCTCAGCTGGGGAGGACACTGGGGCCCGACCAGGTTTATCCCCAGACAGCGCGCTCTCTCTCTCCACCCTGGCTGATTGCTGGCTTTGAGACTGGTTTGGTCGAGGTTGAGAAATGGGAAAAAGAAGCAGGCTTTGTGTGAGAAGAAAACTAGAACAGCAAACAGAAAATGTTACTTTCTAATTAGTGGTGACGTTCTCTGGTCACCCTGTCGTACATGCTCAGCTAGCTACTAAAGTGAGCACCTCCATACCCTGCCCTCCCCGTGGAGGGCGCTTCTCCAGCCCCATCCTGGAAGGCCCTGTAATCCTGCCCAGACCCCAGGACCTTGGATTGTGATGACAGGCACACAGCAGTGTCCTGCTATAGATTTAATTGTTGGAAATCTGAGAGCTGCTTTAGTAGCTAGAGATTTCAAATATTAAAGAATCATACAAATATTAAAGAATCAGACCTGTGATCCTAGCTACTCAGAAAGTAGAGATCTGAGGATTGTAGTCCCGAATCAGCCCTGGGCAGTTAAGTCCATGGGATTTTTATCTCTAATTAACCACCAAAAAGGCCAGAAGGAGAGCTGTGGCTCAAGTGGTAGAGCACCAGCCTTGAGCAAAAACAGCTCAGAGACAGTGCCCTGGCTCTGAGTTCAAGCCTCAGGACTGGCATGCGCCGTGCATGTGCGCACGCGCGCACACACACACACACACACACACACACACTTAAAAAAAAAGGTGAACATTCTGGAATTGAAAGGAGCAGAGCAAATCATCTGCCCAACTCAGGTTCCCGTTTGACCCCCTGCCCTGACATCCCCCGCCTCCTCCCCGCCCCCCCCAGCCTCTGCTTCCTCCATGGCTGTGAGGCCATTCCTCGTTGACCTACCCCACTCTTTCCATGGTTTTGATGTCCACCTGTGGTCTTGATCATGAGGCAATTGCCTGATCATCGGAGCCACTGGTGACGGTGACTAGACTCTTGGGCAAACACACTGCCTCTTACACTGTCTCACTTCCCACAGCAGGGCAGTCCTTAAGTCCCTCTGGCATTCCTGTCACCTGTCTGGCAGCTTCTAGCAATTCATAGTATGCATGTGGCCTACACAACTCCTGAATTATTCTGTCTTGTTTTGGTTTGGTTTTGTCTTGCTGGAAATGGAACCTGGGCCTCATGCATGCTAGGCATGCACCACTGAGAGGCCCAGAACTATTTTGTTTTTCATCTTTTTCTGTACAATTCGTTTTGAACCATGAACAGAGGATTTCTATTGATGGGGGTGTGCTTTTTTTTTTTTTTTTTTTTTTGTCGGTCGTGGGGCTTGAACTCTGGGCCTGGGCGCTGTCCCTCAGCTCTTCAGCTCAAGGCAAGCGCTCTACCACTTGAGCTACAGCGCCACTTCCGGTTTTCTGGTGGTTTATTGGAGATAGGAGTCTCACAGTCTCTCCTGCCCGGGCTGGCTTTGAATGGCGATCCTCAGATCTCAGCCTCCTGAGTAGCTAGGATTACAGGCGTGAGCCACCCGCGCCCAGCTTGTGCTTTTTTTTTTTTTTTTGACACAACTTTATATTCCATTTGTTGGTTCTGAGTTACTGTCAGAGCTCTTCAAGATTACTTTCCTTCTGTTGCGTTTCTTTTATTCCAAATCACAAAAATCAAGTAAATCTGGCTTAACCCAAGGAATTTACACAGCACTGTGGGCTCCCTGGCTCACACAGAGTTGGCCCAGGGTGCTGTCACAGTGTCCATTTCCAAAGGAGCATCTCCTTATGTAAAGAGAAACTTACCTTCCTTCCACCCACTTAACAAAGACCACCCAGGAGAAAGTCAGACCCTACTTCCCAACAGGGATCTTGGGGGCCAGCCCTCATGGACCAGCTTGAGTCCCGACATCCTGGAACCAACCTCACTGGCAGGAAAATGGAACATGCTGAACAAGAGAGGACCAGGGCTGGGCGCCAGTAATCCTAGCTACTCAGAAGGCTGAGATCTGAGGATTGCAGTGCAAAGCCTGTCTTTTGGATCCTTCACAGGATTGTCTGTGAGATTCTTATCTTCAATTAACTACCCCAAAAGACCAGAAGTGGAGCTGTGGCTCAAGTGGTAGAGCATCAGCCTTGAACAAGAATGCTAAGGGGCAATACTCAAGCCTGAGCTCAAGGCTCAGCAACAGCAGGGGGAGGGGGGAGAAGGGAAAGGAGAAAGGGAGGAGAAGGGAGGGAAGAGGAGGGAAGAAGGGAGGGAAGGGGAGAGAGGAGGAGAGAAAGAGGAGGGAAGGAGGCAGGCAGGCAGGCCCAGAGATGCACACACACAGACCCTAGATGGGCCAGAAAGCTGTAGCCCAGAAAGTCAAAGCTGAGATGTATAGGACCCTCCTTTTCCAGAAGGATGAAAGGCCATAAGAAGCCTAGGGTTCCCAGGCCGGGGCTCCTGGCGCTCATGGCCGGCCCTCATCACACTGACCAGACCAGGGCAGAGGATTCATGGCTCAAGCAGTAGCCCTTCCTTCAGGGCCTGAAATCCCCGCTGGTCCCTCCGACCCCGCGCCCCCAAAGCTCTGCAGCCCGGCCCCTGCGTTGGGAGCGGGAGCGACCCCGTTTCACAGGGAGCTCCTTCGTGCCTGGGTGAAGCCCCTGTTCTGCGGGGCACCCCGGCGCGCCGGGTCTGCACAGTGCTGTGCAGCGTAGCTGTGTGAACACGCAGCCACCAGCAGCCTGGGGTGGCTCAGCAAGGCCACCCCACCGCGCGGTCCCCCACCCCGCGGCCCCACCCCGCGGACCCCGCGCTCCAGCCGCGCGCGCCCTCTGGCGGACGCTGCATGCAGCGCCCCAGGGCGCCGCTGCGGTGAGGGAATTCCCAGCTCCAGAAGGGGCGCGCATCCCTGAGCTTTGGCCTGGTGCCCAGTCTCCAGCCTCAGACCAGACGGGAGCGTGCGAACCCCGCGATCCCTCCCTCATCTGTCCCTGCAGAGCCGGCCGCGTGCCGCAGCTGCTTCCTTCTCGGCAGGTGGCACCCCCTTCCCTTCCCAGTTCTCCCTGCCTTGGCTCTCACAGTGGCTGAACACTTTGGAGTGTTTGATGTCTATTTTACCCCAAATAAGCTTTTTTTTCCGGGGGGGGGGGGCAGTGGTACTGGGGTTTTGAACTCAGGGCCTCACACTTACCAGGCTGGTTCTACCACTTAAGCCACACCTCCAGCCCCCAAGCAAGATGAGGTCTTCTTTCCTGTCTGTGATCTGTCTAGTTTGGTTTCCCTAAGTTGCTGGGGTCCCAGGCCACCACATCCAGTTTTCCTCCATGGAGATGGGGTCTCATGGACTTTTCTGTCTGGACTGGCCTCAAATCACAAGTCTCCCAACCTCAGCTTCCCAAGTAGCTAGGATTACAGGCATAAGCCACTGGTGCCTGGCTTCCAAAATCTACTTTCTTATTAAACACACATCCTAGGTGGACTTTCAGTACCTTTCCTGTGAGTCAAGTAGGTTACCTGAAAATGTGAATTCGCTACTGCCAGTGAAAGTTAACCTGTGAAAGTTCTCCATGTGAACCTTTAAATTAGAGCACAGTGAACTCTACATTGGCTGGGCGTGTGCATAGTACATGCCTATGCATGTGCCAGTGCCCACACAGTACTGGGCCTTGAACTCAGGGCCTAGGTGCCCTCCCTTAGATTTTTCACTCAAAGCTGGTGCTCTCCAACTTAGCCACACCTCTACTTCTGACTTTGGGGTAGCTAATTGGAGATAAGGGTCTGATGGACTTTCCTGCCCTGGCTGACTTCAAACTGAGACCTTCAGATCTTAGCCAGCTGAGTAGCTAGGATTACAGGCATGAGCCACCCACACCCAGCTTTGAATTTATACATTTTAACTCCACTCAGCTGCAGGGAAGGAACGGGATCCCCCAAAGCCATTACTTTGTACCCTGCCTTCTTGCTCTCACAGGCCCTGACTTGGGTTCATCTCTGTTGAAAGTAACTTGAAGCCATTTCTCTCCTGCAGGAAGGGAACATTTTTGTAGTGGACTATGAGCTGTTGGATGGCATTGATGCCAACAAGACTGACCCCTGCACACACCAGTTCCTGGCAGCACCCATTTGCCTGCTCTACAAAAACCTGGCCAACAAGATCGTCCCCATTGCCATCCAGGTAGGCCCCCCTCCCCAGCCCCTGAGATTGCAAGACCCTGTCTCAAAAGCAAAATTTAGCTGGGTGCTGGTGGCTTACGCCTGTAATCCTAGCTATTCAGGAGGTTGAGATCTGAGGACCATGGTTCAAAGCTAGCCCATGCAAGAAGGTCCATGGGACTCTTATCTCCAACTAACCACCAAAAAGCCAGAAATGGGGCTATGGGTCAAGTGGTAGAGCACTAGGCTCAAGCAAAATAGCTCAGGCACAGCATCCAAGACCTGAATCACACTCAGTACTATCGAGGAGTGTGGCTCAAGTGCCTAGTCCTTAAAGTCCCAGGGCTCAATCCCTGGAATTGCATTATTAAAATAATACTACCAAAGAGGACGAAGCAGTGCAAATCATGATTACCACCAAGCAGAGTTTAGTGGAGATACTTGAGCTGGGTATGGTAGCTCATGCTTGCAATCCTAGCTACTCAGAAGGCTGAGGCTCACAGTTCAAAGTCAGCCCAGTCAAAAATGTTCAAAAGATTCTGTCTCAACAACCAAGAAAAAACTGGTGTGGTGGTGGACACCTTAACTCCAGCAACCTGAAGGGCACGTATCAGAAGTGTGGCTGCAAACCAGCCTTGCCAAAAACTCAATAAACAAGGCCAAGGCCAGCCCCTGGGAAAAGGCCATCGAACCTATCTGAAAATTATTAAAGTAAAAAGAGCTTAGGTCATGCTTAAGAGGCAGAGTTTTTGTCTAGAAAGTGAAAAACCCTAAGTTCAAAAGCCCAGTATCACACTCCCTTGCCACCCTTCAAATTTATATGAGAAAATTCGCTGGTCTGGGTGGTGAATGCCTGTAATCCCAGCTACTCAGGAAGGGTAACAAAAGGGTCTCCGTTTGAGGCCAGCTCACACAAAGACTCAATACCCTGAGCTATATTCTAGCCCCTGGAGTTGGGGGTGGGCAGACAGTTGAGGGGGTCAAGGAGACCCCTGTGGTGAAGAATAGAAGGTCCCTTGTGGGGGGTGGGGGGACATGATTAGGTGACAGCACAGGGGTTTGATGATGAGGTGGCCACACAGTGGGATCTGATGGTCTATCACACCACCACTGTAGTAAGGAAAAGCCAAACTGCACCCCTCTGCCCTGCTGAGTACCAAAATAAAACAATAAAGATAAACAAGAATGTTGGGCTAAGGGGACTTTGAAAGTAAAACAAGGAAGGAAGGAGTACTGAGAGGAAAGGCTGGTTATGTGATGTGCTTAACATCAGGATGTGTTTGCATCACTTGCAAAGCCACCAGCAGAAACTGAGCCAAAGACGTCACTACAACCTAAGAGCTCCTGCTTGCTGACAAGGGAAAGATGACATACCTGGGCAAATGGTACAACCAGGCTCCTGGTAAAAGAAATATAAGTGGATAATCAAGCTGCACATGGAAAAAATCTTCCACTTCACTAGCTGTCACAGAAATGCCCATTAAACCATGAGACCTAAGAGGTAGGCTGAAATAAGAAAGTGGTACGCTCTGCAGGACTGAAACCCCAGGCCTCAAACTCCTCGGGTATCACATGTCACCCACCCTAGACACCAAATAGAGACATGGTGGGCCAGGTGCTGGTGGCTCACACCTGTAATCCTAGCTACTCAGGAGACTGAGATCTGAGGATTTGGGTTCAAAGCCAGCTGAGGCAAGAAAGTCTGTGGTACTCTTATTTCCAAAAATCTGGATGTAGCAGTGTGGCTCAAGTGTAGAGCACCGGCCTTGAGTGAAAAAGTTAAGGAAAAGCGCCCAGGCTCTAAGTTCAAGCAGTATTGGCACAAGGAAGGAAGGGAAGGATGGAGGGAAAGAGGAAGGGGGGGAAGAAAGAAAGAAGGAAGACAAGGTAAAGGATAAAAAAAGGATGTTTATTAAAGACAGCATTGCAGCTCATCGTTAGCCATCTTTTAGGATACAAACACAAAAGCTGAGGCAGGCGGGTGAAGGTGTGCCTAATGTCTACCCAGTCCTAGACACCAGCCTGGCCTGGCTGGCCACGGTCTCCAGTCCTTGTCCTCAGAGGCTCAAAAGTTAGAAGGTGTCATCCTGGCAGGGCTGCTGAGTGCATGTCTGTCCTGTGTCACCTGTGTCACCTGCTTGTTCTGAGCTCTTGGCTATTCTCTTTTTTACAATTTTCTGTCTTTCTCTCTTTCTTTCCTTTTCTTTTTTTTTTTTTGTGAAACTGGGACTGGAACTCAGTACCTGGTGCTTTGCTCATTGGCTATTGCTCTACCCACGGAGCCACACTTCCAACCCCTGGCTATTCTTTCTTTGGAGCAGTTTGACCTGTTGTCACAAAATGGTAAGAGGAAGGTATTGCTGTGGTTTGAGGGGCAGTTTCCTTTACCCCTCTTTGTAAGAAGTGATCAATGATAAATCTTGTCCTTCCTGGAGCCCAGGGTGTGGGCAGTGACTGGAGGAGAGGAAGGCTTAGCTCAAAGGACACAGAGGCACAGGGGGCTGGGGGCCTAGCTTTGATCCTGCTTGTCATTAACTCATTCACAGGCCCAAGCGAGTAGTCAGTGCTTCTCAGCAACAGTAGTTTAAATACTTCAAACCCTGGGCCAGCACCTGGGCAGGGCTTGCTGTGGAGGCTCAGGAGTCTAGAATGGATGGTGACAGGGTTGAGGGGCTGGGGTGGGAGGGAGTTAGGTCTGGCACTGTCAGCAGAGCCTTACACAAGAGGCCTGACTCCGAGATTCCAACATTCTTTGGCTGTTTGCCCCAGAGAATGCAAACAGGTAGCCATGAAAAGGCAGGGAGAAGAAGAAGAACCTAGCTATGCCAGGAAGATAGAAATCCGGCGTTTGAAGCCATCTTCATGGTACCAACATGTGCATCGCCTTTAACTAGGGAAGAATTGGAGTGGGAGAGCCGTGGTCCCCTCTGTGCATCACCTTTACAACAAAAATGCTTTAAATAAATAATCATCAGCCTTGGTCAAAGCATATATGGTCTGACCAGTCATCACCTCAGTTCTAGTCCTGCAAGGTGGCCCCAAAAATCATTGCTGGAAGAGACATCCAGGCTGCCACGAGAGGACGGGGTGATCTCACTATGGGGGGTTTGTCTGTAAGGCTCTGCAGAAACCCAAGGTGACTACCGGTTTAGGATGGGGGAGAGCTGGAACGGGCTGATGTAAACACTGACAGACATCTGTCAAGCTATTTCTTTCTCTGGGCCTTCAGCCCGGTCAGACACTGCATAAATGACTAACATTCCTACTGAGATTTAAGCAGAAGTATTAACCTAAAGAGTTGTCTTGTGCTGGTACTGGGGCTTGAACTCAGAGCCTGGGTGCTGTCACTTAACTTTTTGTTCAAAGTTGGTGCTTTACTACTTGAGCCATGGCTTTTTGGTGGTTAGTTGAAGATAAGAGTCTCATAGACTTTCCTGTTCAGGCTGGCCTCGAACCCTGATCCTCAGAGCTCAGCCACCTGAGTTGCTAGAATTAGAGGCATGAACCTTCAGCACCTGGTTCTTTTTACTTACTAAAATGTGGCTTCCTAAACTTTGAGTTCCCTGTGTGGTTTGTATTATATATTTCTATTGGACAATGCAGTTTTGCAGGGAGAGACAGACAAGGAAGCCACCTTCCAAATAACTCAGGGGACACAGCTAAGTCTGCTTCTGAGGCAGGCGACTCTCTGTCTCTGCTCAAGCTACCTGCTATACCAAGCCCCCAAGGCCCCAACTGCCCTTCCCAGCACTCTGGCTGCAGCTGCTGCTGGCAAGCTGCTCTTTGCCCCTGGGTCTCCTGAAGTGTCAGGTCCTTGCCTGATGGAAGGCGTAGCGCTGGTGCTAGTGTATTAAGGGATGTCTTAGTGTCATCCCCACCACACTATTTGTATTTCAGAGCAGCAAGTCCCCTCAGTGGTAGTAAAGAGTGGAACTGGAGAGGGGGAGCTGGTCACTGCTTCACCCTCCAGCCTGGGCCTGCAGCCCCTTGCACAGGAGACGCTCATTGCGGGAGAGGAGGAGGGGCAGGCGGTGGAGGAGGAAGGGCAGGAGGGGAGAGGAGGAGGGGCAGGAGGGGAGGAGGCAGGAGGGAGGGAGGGGTGAGAAAGCAGGGTCAGGTCTACCTCCACTGGCCACTCCTCGTGACCCCTCTGTGGGCAGTTATAGCAAGCCAGTGAGGGACAGTTGTCCACATATAAGGGGTCCCCGTCCCCAGTTAGGCTGTGCTCCTCTGGGGCTGTGCAGGTTGTGTATGAACAGGGAACACTCACCCCTGGAACCCCAGGTGTCCAGCCACCCTCCTTGCTCTTCTAGTGACCTGCAAGCAACTTGTGAAGATGTTCTGGTTCTTTGGAATTTTCTGAGAGGCGAGGTTTGCAGCAATAGTCTTGAGCAAAATCCAACCAGATGTTTTCTTGCTTCAACAATGCAGCTCAACCAAATCCCAGGCGAGGAGAACCCCATTTTTCTCCCTTCCGATGCAAAATACGACTGGCTTTTGGCGAAAATTTGGGTGCGTTCCAGTGACTTCCACATCCACCAGACTATCACCCACCTCCTGCGCACGCATCTTGTGTCAGAGGTGTTTGGTATTGCCATGTACCGCCAGCTGCCTGCCGTGCATCCCATTTTCAAGGTAAGAGCCAGGCACTGTTCCACTTGCAGCGGTGTGGATGACACCTGGGAGGGGGGACATCCCTGCAAGGGACAGTGGCTGGAGCAAGCAGCACACAGACCCTGGAGAGGCAGCACTGTCTCCCTAAGGAACAAAGTACTGGGGAGCCTAATGGTGCTGCAGGACATGGGGCCAGGCTGGGGGCCGGGGCCAGAGCCTGGCTAGCTGGGAAGGCAGGTGAAATGCTGCTAGCACTGATGGTTGGAGTACCTGATGGCTGAAAATACCTCAGTGCCTCAGTTTCCTCATCTGTAAAACAGGTGAAAATAGTATCCTAGCCTTCTAGGAAAATGATCAGGAGAAAAGTGTCAAGTTCAGAGAGCTTAAAGCATGACAGGCACCTAGTTAAGTACTAGGCAGATGGTGCCAATTCTGTCCCCGGCACCTGGGCTGGGTGGGGTGCTGCGAGTCCCCAGGTCTCTGATGTCCTTCTCTCCTGCCCAGCTGCTGGTGGCACACGTGAGGTTCACCATCGCCATCAACACCAAGGCCCGGGAGCAGCTCATCTGCGAGTATGGCCTCTTTGACAAGGTGGGTACCCTCCCTCCCATGGGGCCTAGATGGGCATCTCAGGCCAGGCCCCAGGCAGTGGCCTGGGAAGTGGGCAGCTTTGGCTCCATCCACTAGCCAGTGCAAGCCAGGGTACCACCAAGGTCTCCCTCCTGGCACATGTCCTCCTTCAGCCTCTCAGCTGAAACCTCTGCCCACTCTTCCCTCCTTCATGGCCCACTGACCTGCACACAGGGAGACCCGCTTGCCCTTCCATGCTGCTGCACCCTGGCTTCCTGCCTGGGAGCTGCTCAGTGGCTGAGCACAGCGCTGGGTGCCTTTCTTGTCTCTCTCTGTTTCTGACCCACTTTTGTGTGCCAGCCCTGGGGCTTGCACTTGGGTGTTGTCCTCAAGCTTTTTTGCTCAAGACAAGGGCTCTACCACTTGCACCACAGCTCCACCTGTGGATTTTTGGTGATTAATTGGAGGTAAGAGTCTCACTTCCTTGCCTGGACTGGCTTTGAACTGCTATCCTCAGATCTCAACCTCCTAGGTAACTAGGATTGTAATCCTGCTGACTCATTTCTTAACACGGAGCGAGCACCCCAGAGGGGCTGGGGAGTCCCAAGTGGGAGCTGACCCTCCCTCCTGCAGCTGAGCAGCTGTGACCCTGGCCCTGACACTGGGTCGGGTTGCTCCTGGCTGTCATCATGGTGCTGGGGGCCTTGGCCTGTGGGGATAGACGTCGCTGTCACCTGGCAGGGCACTGGCGGTCCCTCTGGGTCCAGGCCCCCAGCTTTCCCAGGATTCAAGGAAGGCAGGGGTTGGACGGATAGGAGGGAGCTGGCCTGGTTCGGAGCTCTCCCTTCCTCGCAGGCCAACGCCACCGGGGGGCGGCGGGCACGTGCAGCTGGTGCAGCGCGCCATGAAGGACGTGACCTACGCCTCCCTGTGCTTCCCCGAGGCCATCAAGGCCCGGGGCATGGACAGCGCCCAGGACATCCCCTACTACTTCTACCGCGACGACGGGCTGCTGGTGTGGGAGGCCATCCTGACGTGAGTGCGGGAGCTGCGGGCCGGGGAGGGCCGGTGCGGGGGCCGGGGGGCAGGGCGCTGGGGGAAGCCCCGCACGCACACACACTCCCGGGGGCTCGCCGGCCAGGTTCACCGCCGAGGTGGTGGGCATCTACTACGAGAGTGACCAGGTAGTGGAAGAGGATCAGGAGCTGCAGGACTTTGTGAGGGACGTCTACGTGTACGGCATGCGGGGCAGGAAGGCTTCAGGTAGGGGCGAGCTCGTGGGAGCGGCTGCGCCCTCGGGTCGGGGTCGGGGTTCTCCAGCCCTGGCCGGGGTTGGGGGTCGGGGTCGGGGTTCTCCAGCCCTGGCCGGGGTCGGGGGTGGGGGTCGGGGTTCTCCAGCCCTGGCCGGGGTCGGGGGTCGGGGGTCGGGGTTCTCCAGCCCTGGCCGGGGTCGGGGGTCGGGAGTCGGGGTTCTCCAGCCCTGGCCGGGGTCGGGGGATGGGGGATGGGGCGGCGTTGGGGAACGGGCCGGGGAAGGGTGTGAGGGGGCCGGTCAGGCGTCTCCCCCTGGGGGCTCACGCCCGCTGCCCCTCCCTAGGCTTCCCCAAGTCCATCAGGAGCCGGGAGAAGCTGTCCGAGTACCTCACCGTGGTCATCTTCACGGCTTCTGCCCAGCACGCGGCAGTGAATTTCGGCCAGGTGTGCCGGGCGGGGCAGTCCTCCGGGTCCCCGGACCGCGGGTCACTGGTCCCCCGGGGCGGCCTGTAGGCCTGGGGTCCACTCTGCGGTGCGCAGAGAGGAGAGGGGAGGGGACGTGACAGGGCGGGGCCCGGGGCGGAGTGGGCGGGGCCTCGAGGAGGGGCGGGCCGTGAGAGGGCGGGGCCCTGGGCGGGGTGGGAGGGGCCAGCGGGGAGGCAGGGTGAGGCCTCGAGGAGGGGCGGGCTGTGAGAGGGCGGGGCCCGGGGCGGGATGGGCGGAGCCAGCGGGGAGGCAAGGTGTGGCCTCGAGGAGGGGCGGGCCGTGAGAGGGCGGGGCCCTGGGTGGGGTGGGCGGGGCCAGCGGGGAGGCAAGGTGCGGCCTTAGGAGATGGGCGGTGTCCTGGGCGGGTCAAGGGGCGGGTCAGGGGCTGGGGCGGCCTGGCCAGCTTCCCCCTGGTCAGGCGGGTGTGGTGGGCTAGTGGGCTGGACTGGTGGCTACGGGCGCCCACTGGGTCGGCACTGTTCCCACAGTACGACTGGTGCTCCTGGATCCCCAATGCTCCCCCAACCATGCGGGCCCCGCCGCCCACCGCCAAGGGCGTGGTGACCATCGAGCAGATTGTGGACACGCTGCCGGACCGCGGCCGCTCCTGCTGGCATCTGGGCGCTGTGTGGGCGCTGAGTCAGTTTCAGGAAAATGAGGTGAGACCCGGCAAGGTGAGGGACACAGCTCACCCATGTTTAACCCATCCCACAATCTCGTCGGCTCTCTCTGGACACCTGCAGCCAGGGATGGAGAGTAGACGTCACCTCCCTCTCTACCCAAGGAGAGGTGGTGGCGGGGCACCAGGCTCTGGGTTAAGGGAGGGAACGCAGTGTGAAGGTCATCGTGCACTGACCTGCCTGTGTGTGGTGTCTGGGCCCTCAGCTCTTCCTGGGCATGTACCCCGAGGAGCATTTCATCGAGAAGCCGGTAAAGGAGGCCATGGCTCGATTCCGCAAGAGCCTGGAGGCCATCGTCAGTGTGATTGCCGAACGCAACAAGAACAAAAAGCTGCCTTATTACTACTTGTCTCCAGACCGCATCCCCAACAGTGTGGCCGTTTGAGCCACCTACACCCATCTGGCCGACAAAGCAAACTGCCCTGCCAGCTTCCAACCTGCCTCGGAGCTGCGAGCCCGAGCTCAGGCCCCGGGCTGCCTGGTATCAAACCACTCTCGGATGAGTCACATTATAGCAAGGCTTCAGTGCGTTTTCATGTTTATTCCTCCACTGTTAGTGATTGAACTGTGAAGGCATTGCCAGGGGCCTTCCTTCACACAGCAGCAAGGGTTAGAGCAAGGCCCCTCCACGCCCAGCTTAGCACTTCTGGCCAGCACAGCAGCTGGTTCGGATGTCCAGGTCTGCTACTGGGCACATCGATTACTTGTGCTAGTCACAGTTAATTCCATTTCTTGCATGCGGCCAGTGTCCAAAGACATACTTGTGAATTAACTTTTGGTTGTCACAAAAATAAAGTTCATAAGTCTTGTTCCACATTCTCTAAACTCCGGTCACCACCAAAAATAAAGCCAGATTCTATCTGAGTCAAAGTCTCCCTGCCCAAACCTGATGAAAGTCCCTCATCCTACTGCTCCTGCTCCTCTCAAACATACCATCCAAATGCTACCACCTCTGCTGGCCAGCTAGAGCTTGCCTCTCTCCACAGTTTTGTCAGATGTCTGTCGTTGCCTTCTGTGTGAAATCCCCCATCTAGCTGACAAACTTCAGATACTGTTCTAGGAGCTAGACACTTGTTTTCTCCTGAGTCAGGGTTTGCAGAGGTGTATGTGTGTACGTGTGTGCGCATGCACACACATGTGCACATGCATGTCCTCTTATCTAACTTTGCCACTGTAACAGGAAAAGGATCCAAAGAGATTCTTAACTAAATGGACACTGTTTTAGTTACAAAAATAGGAAGCAGCCTGCCTTGCATGCCTGAGGCCCTGGGTTCGATTCCTCAGCACCACATAAACAAAAAGAAAAAAAAAAAGCTGGAAGTGGCACTGTGGCTCAAGGGGTAGAGCACTAGCCTGAAGCTGAAGAGCTGAGGGACAGCGCCCAGACCCAGAGTTCAGGCCCCACAACCAGACCCAAAAAATAGGAAGCAGCCAGGTGATTGTGGCTCTTGCCTGTAATCCCAGCTACTCAGGAGACTGAGATGTAAAGATTGTGGTTTAAATTCTGCTCAGCTAGGTAAAAAGTCTGTGAGACTCTTTATCTTCAGTTAACCAGAAGAAAGCTAGAAGTGGAGTGTGTGGCACAAGTGGTAGAACACCAGCCTTAATAATAATATAAAAAAGCCAAACAAGTATGTAATGCTCTGAATTCAAGCCCCAGGACCAGTACCAAAAATAATGTTTGTTTTTGGTGCTATTCCTGAGCACGGTCCCTGAGCTTTTTGTTCAGGCACTCTACCAGTTGAGCTACACAGCCTCACTTTTGGCTTTTTGGCAGTTAGTTGGAAGAGTTTCACAACTGGGCTGGGTTTAAACCATGGTCCTCAGATCTCAGCCTCCTGAGTAGCTAGGATTACAGGTGCAGGCCACAAATGCCTGGCTTCAGGAAGCTGCTTTTGAGTAGTTTGCTGCCCTGTATGACAGGGCCTGACAGAAAAGGAGCCCTGTGGCAGACCCACCCTCACTGGTGTCAGGGGCAGTGCCTGAAGCTTTTCTGTACTAAGTTTGGCCCACACCTGGCGTGTCTTCAAACTCATCAAGCATCCAAATCACTCTCAAATTCCTGCAGGAGTGGCTTTCTCATTCTCTTCCATTATTCCCAACTGGGAATGCAGGCCTAGGAGCACCCTGGCCTCCACTCAGCCCCGCACACTGACCTTCCTCAACAGGTCCCGAGGCTTTCTGGGCAAAGTCCACTTTATGGAGGCCCTTGTCACTTAGCCCCCAAGGACAGGCAGCCTGGCATGGACAAACCCTCTGCTCATGTGAACAGCCTCACTTCCAGCCACCTCAGCTCTGGAGTACCCAGAGTCTCTGAGTACCACAGTCTGAGGGACTGTGCATGTGGACATCCATTATCTGAGGACCAGTGGCGCTGCTATCCCTCCTGGAACTTTTACACAGGCAGGAAACAGCCTGGGGAGCGGTCACCAGAACCCTAACAGGTTTCCCTGGTTTCTCTTACTCAGCTGGGCTGTAGTCAATGTCAATCAACTGCCCTGGCTGCCAGACGTGGCTTCCAGACACTCCCTGAATGTGAGGCTGGCTTCCTGGGGACATGAGTCTGTCCATCCTTTGGCCCTCTGGACATCCCCAAGTCCCGGGTCTGAAGGCTGAAGAAAACACACCAGTAGGAAACTACTAATTCTTTCCTGACATATAAGCTACAGGAACCTAGAGAGAAGGTCCCCGGCCTGCAGGTTCAGGAAAGCACTCTTAGCAAAACTCCTTTGTAAAGAAAGGCTTTATTGCTGCAATTAGACACCCATTGTATAGCACAACTCCCCATACAGATAATTATTCAAGTGGTAATACTGAGAAACAGTGAACATACACAAAAGGATACAAAACTAGACATTTAGATCACTAGAAATTTTCTATGAAATATTTCAAATATGAAGTCTTTTAGGAACTACACCACACATGCCAGTGTAAATTTGGTTTTTATTAACAATCAACTTTCTATAAACATTACCATCTAAATGTGCACCAGGCAGCTGTACAACTTTTAATTACTTCCAAAACGAATGACAAATGCTTTTAGGTTCCCTATGTTTCCATCCTTCCTTGGGCTAGGCCTGGAAGTTGCATATTTCAAATCAGATTCAAAGGGGTAGTACCTCACAAGTGTACTTGCATCCAGCCACACCTTAGGGGAGGGGGCATGCTCTTCACTCTACAGCCCCCCCCCACCCCCCCCCCCCCGCAGGGGCCTCCCAAGGCTCTGGACACATTATGCTAGTTAGAGCACTGAAGGAGACACACAGAGGTTTGGAGTAGGAAGAGAACTTTTACATTTCCAGAGAATTCTTTTTTAAAATAAAGTGGGCACACACCCTAAATGACTTCTGGCAGATAGTCAGAAGCCCATCAGTGGAACTATGACTCATGGGGTAAAGGCCAAGCTGGAGAGAGGGCTGGCTGTGACACCCTGAGACAGTTTCCTTCTTCCCCTTTGCCTGGCCTAAAAGCATCAGCCCTCCTGGCCCTGAGGCCTCATCCCAGGACTGTTTGGTTCAGCCTCATGCCATCCTCCCACCAAAGACAGGCACAAACGGAGGCAAAAACCAGACAGGCAGCCCCACAAAAGCAGAGGCAAATGGACAGACTATGGGAGCTTGCGCAGATCCAGAGGCCCCACTAGAGGGCAGCATGATGCCACCTGTTTCACTGAGTCACTGATGGACAGAAGCTAGGTTCTGTTGGATCAGAGGCGCTGAACTAGATCCAGGAGGGAAAGGCAAGGGGTGGCAGCGTGCAATGCCAGCATTGGTCAAAGGAGAAAAGGGGTCAAGACCTCCTGAAAAGGAGGAAGACGGATTTGCAGAGCATGTGGTTGGCATGGTTCCAAAGGCACCTTTGCCGTAAGAGGGATGCTGCCACCTCCCCCCAGGACACCCGCTAGGGCTACCCCTAAGTGTACTTTCCTCTCCATAGAAAGTATCCGTGCTTCTCAAGTTCAGCCTGAGGGGCCCCGTGGGAGGGACTCACATTCAAACTCTGATTCTGGCCTCTTCGTAAATTCATCTACTGCGGGGAGGGTGCAGGGACGGGTAGACAGGACTGCAAACCTAGCTGGGCAGCTCCTAAGGGGTGCAGGCAGGGCTGCCTGGGGCTCAGCTCCCCTGAGTGGGCAGTCTGTAGCTGCCTGGTGTCCCCAGGCTGAGAAGGAATGTGGGTAATTGCACTTTGGGGGCACAGTGAGCACAGAGACAGGCTGGATGGGACCTGGGACGCAGGGAGCACAGGGTGACATCAGAGTCAGCTCCCCACAGGCCCTGGGACTCCAGCAAGTCAGATTCGATCCAGAAGCAGCAGGACAGGACCTGTTCTCTCAGCCTCCCCCAGTTCAAAGGCCTTCTGCTGCCTCCTGCCTCTCCCACCAACCACAGGGCTTCTCCATGCAACTGCAAAGAAAACGATTCTTGTGTTTGTTCCATCCCATTCCAGGGCAGGACACCCAGGCATTGTGCTGTCTCATCCTGGGAGACTCAGGCTCTGGGTCACTCACATCATGTGGCATAGCTACCTCTGGAGCTATTTGCCTGGCACTGACACTGGGCTTCAAGAGCAGAATTTTCATCTGGCTTTTTAAAGGGGCAAAGGCCATTTGATGGCAGTGATTTTGGTTTAGTCTGTGGTATGAAAAATGGTGCTGGAGGTAATCCCTGATGGCAGAATGGACTGGGTATGGGGCCATCCTGTCTGTTCTATGTGGTTAAGGCGACAATGGGTTGGTGTGGGTTTCAGAGCAGTGACAGAGGGGCCCACAGTAGTTTGTGGCTCATGCCAGGGCCTACCAGAACCGGCCTGCCTGCCTGCCTGCCTCCTGGCCCTGACCGTGACTCCTCAGAGCTCCCTGTAGGAGCCAGCGCAGGAGTGCCCGCACCTATGGCACCTGCTCTTTCTGCACAGCTGATACCCAGTGTGGTAGACAGCTATTTGTCAAGGAACATTTCCTAAGTACTTGTCTCTCCTAAGCACTCACTTCTTTTCTGCTTCCATCTCAAAACCCTTCTTCAGTGCTGACAAAAATGCATGGCAAGCCGAACCAGGCTCCAAGCCGCAGGAAGCAGGAATCTCACTCACTGCCACTGAGCAACCATCCACTCCCATCAACTGGGCTCTGGGTCAGCCTCTGCCCTGCTGACCAGCCACACGTCTGTCATTTGGGCACTGAGGACATCTTGCTACTCAAAGTACGTAAGGCAAAAAGGGTTTCAGATCTACTTTGATGAAAAGGAGGTAAGGGCAACAAAGGGAGATTTCTGAGTCTGATGCTCTTTTAAGTGTCAACCCCACTAGACACAGGTATCACAAAATAAAGATTCTCTTTTGTAAAGTGCTGTTTGCTCAGTGAACCATGTGCCATTGGGCTCTGAGGCCTCATCTGCTTGAATGCCAACAAAGGAAGGCAGGTGCTTGTATATGGGGGCTCTTCTACCCCATCCCCCGACTCTCCTCATCCAGCCCTGCACATTCCCAGCCCCGGGCTCTGGGCAGGGATGGCTCACTTTGGGCCCTGCTGATCTTCCTAGCATAGCCCTTTATTCTCTCGCTCTGCTCCGCAGGGTGGGCAGGAACTCAGCCATGGTGTCTGTGTGGAGTATCCCACCTTCCTGTCCTACAGAGCAGCAGGCAGAAGTGGGGCCCAGTACTGTCTGCCCCATAGGACTTTCAGGAGACTTGCCAAGGAGAGTCAGAAAGACAGAGGCCACTGTAAGTCACCCGCACAGTCTATGCTATTAAAGGACTCAAGAAAGGTACACAGTTGGCAGTAAACAAATCCTTCAGCTCTTCATGGATGTCCAGGGAATGGCGCCCTCCACCATCAGACATGAATGATTTCTGCTCCAGTGTCCTCA